AATATAACCCCCTGTTTGCTGAAATGAAGTGATCTATGGCTTCTATAGTGGGACGTGGTGGCGCTGTGGGCTAAACCGCAGAAGCCTGTGCTGCAGGGTCAGAAGACCAGCAGTCGTAAGATCGAATCCACGCGACGGAGTGAGCTCCCGTCGCTTTGTCCCAGCTCCTTGCCAACCTAGCAGTTCGAAAGCACGTAAAAAATGTGAGTAGACAAATAGGTATCACCTCGGTGGGACGGTAAAACGGTGCTCCCTAGTCACGCTGGCCACGTGACAACTGAAACTGTCTTCGGACAAGCGCTGGCTCTACGGCTTGAAAAACGGGATGAGCGCCGCCCCCTAGAGTCGGACACGACTGGACTAAAAATGGCAAGGGGAACCTTTACCTTTACCTATGGCTTCTGTAGTAGAACTGCAGTAGAACTGCTGGGTAGCTCAGTGAGATGGGTCTCTGGCTATGGAGCCAGAAGGTTGGGAGTTCAATTCCCACACGGTGACTCCATGATAGCGATTCCCACACGGTGACTCCATGATAGTGGCTGGATTCAGTGATCCACAGGGTCCCTTCCAGCTCTGCAATTCAAAAGCTATTATTATTATTATTATTAAAGCCGGTCCCTTCCAGCTCTGCAGTTCAAAAGCTATTATTATTATTATTAAAGCTGACATTGGATGGAGCAGGACAGGCAGAGCATACTATCCAATGTGTAGGTATTCTGTATGATTATGAATAGAAGGAAATCTCTGTGCCACCAGAAACCAGACTGGAGGGATGAGGAGATAAGACCCTCTGCATAAGAGTGAGAAGAGAGAAACCTGTTTTTGCTGGTGCATTCCCTCCACTGTACCCCTTTGCCATTGACAGGCAGCTGTGAATCAAGAGATATTGGGACTCAAGCTTAATTGCGGAACCAGTAACTTCAGGGCCCAGTCACTAGATTCATGTGCTAGGCAGTTTTTTTTATTTTTTATTTTTATTTATTGGGTGACTCTACTTACAGATGCCAGAACATTGTGTTCACTAGGGTTGAATGCAAAGGACTCTGTTCTGATGCTTTGCAGCCTTATAGCTTGCCAAAAGTTTACTGGTGTCATATAAATAACAAAGAGGACATGTCTGAATGAATTTGATCCCTTAAGGCACAAATCCCAAAGAAAGAAGATATCTGAGAAGCTTCTGCAATATTCGCTTTTGTCAGTTTGCACCATTTCTGGGATATTTTTCTACCTTGGGATTCTTGAAATCATGCGGCCCAATAGAATTTCAACATTGGGTAAATTGTCTTGATGTTTCCACCGAGAGAATGAAAACGAGGTTTGGTTGATAAAGGAAATGATTTGAGGAAGTAAATTTCCTTGAGAAGAGCTTTGAAGTGTGTAAAATTGGGGGTGGGGAGGAAACAGCTTAACGTGGAAATTAAAAAAAATGTATAGGTTGAACTCTTCAATGCAGATGTAGAGAGATGAAGCAGAATTCATAGGTCTCAAACGGAGTGCAAATATACCTGTATCACTAAATGGAAAAAAAAAGAGTGGGCTCCTCAGAGAGAAATGCATTAAATAGATGGCTGTTTAATAAATTATATGAGTTTTCTTTCTCACTTGTATGTGGAAATTTTCAGATGCAAGGATGGATGTGAAGTTATAGTCTTCTACCATCCCTTTGGAATGTAACCCTGAAAGCAAAAGCTGTGGAAGGGGACTGCTTTGAAGCACTGGCAATAAAAGAGATTAATTGGTCCCCTTTATCCTGCATTATCCAGGCAGTTGCTGGCCTTGCATCCAAACAGAACAAACAAATCTGTTGCTGATGTATGTACCAAACCGCCAGTGAATGATGTATTTGGTGAGTGTTGAGAGTTGAGTGCACTGGATCTGGGAATCCTGCTCCAGTAATGGGCGTGATATTCTCACCCTACTAACGCAGCTGGTAGTTCTGATTGGTGTGTATGTGCATTGATTCACGTCAGTGTCAATCACAGTAAGTCACTGCAAATTAAAAACAACGCTGGACCCGAATGTCATTGTTTCACGTCTATTCATTGTGCTAAGACGAAGACATTGTGCTAGCAGCTAAGTGACTTTGGTTAACTGCCTTGCTTCGCACTGACGCCTGTTCCGGCTGTATGAAAATGGTTAAACCTGTCCAACACTGGAACTCCTGTCTTCATTGTAGCTAAGATGTTTCTGGCAGGGCAACTTGCATCTTCCGCGGCAGTCTTGAAATTCCTTAAAAGCAGTTCTTAAAAATGCATGAAGTCTCTTTTAAAGCTTGGCCATTTTTGCAGTTTTGCAGTGTTGTTGATTAAATGCTAATCATGTGCTTTTTCTCAGTTTTATACTGTGTATCCTATTAATTAATACTAAGAGTGCCACACCATTCTTGGATACCATGGATATGTGGTAATCTAGCCGGTTAGTAGCTGCAAGCTATTCAGTGCTTGAGAACTTTTACATGTCAGCTGTCTGAAATTTTACTGTTCACATTCATGTTAAAATCGATTGATTGACTGATTGATTTTAAATATGTATATACCACCTTTCTCTAAAAGAATCCAAGGCGGCTTACAATATTACAAGAGATTAAAAGCTAAAATAATAAATTATTACAATATTTTAGAAGAATTACACAGATATATTAAAACTTATAAATAACAGCAATATTAAAAGTAAAACAACAGAATACAATAATCCCTTTAGAAATATCCCCTTGGTCAACCAGTCATTAAAAGGAAAGCCTGCCTGAAGAGAAGGTCTTTGTCTGCTTGCGGAAAGACAGAAAGATGGGGCCAGGCTGGCTGCCGGTGGGAGGGAGTTCCAGAGTCTTTGGGAGCAGCCACAGAGATAGCAGTCTCTCATATACCCATCAAACATGGCTGTGAGGGTGGTGGACCAAGAGAAAGGCCTCCTCTCATGATCTTAATACCCATGCAGGCCATAAAGGGATATGTGGTCATTTTAGATAGCTTGGATCTTAAGGCTTGCATATTTGTGCAGAAGTAGTGATGGCTGCTGAAGCAATATGAATTCCAAAATCTGATGTGTAACTGGCAGGATTTGATTTAAAGTGAATTGAATTTAAATCATGATTTGAATCACTGCTCCAAAAGTCTCACTTTAATTATGTTACTCCCCCTCCCAAAAGCTTGCTGTACCCTGGATACGTATTTTTCACAGCTTGGCCATACACATTTTATTTTTAGAACACCTTTGCCATACATTTTAAGAAAGAATGGTTTGGTTTGAAAATCTTTCCGTATAGGTTTGCATTTATATCAGGAAATGGTTGTTTTAATTACCAGTGCTCATTTGAAACAGATAATTTGTGAAGACGTTGTTTGTGAAACAATCAGTTTTCAGTTCAGAATGTGTGCTCTTTCAGAGAGAGAAAAAAGGGCTTGACTTTGTCTACATGAAGCCGCACTATTTGGGAAGGAATCATTGTCATGCAAATAAATTGTTGAGAGCAATCCAGGAGATTTTAAGAGGACTTCCAAGAATTTCCAGTATCCTATCCTTATTGGCAGGGGTCCCGTAGGTGAGCTCCAGGATTAGAATCGTTTTGGGTTAGAGTTAGAAACCAGGTTTGGTCAGGGGAGAGAGAGAGAGAGAGAGAGAGAAACAAACAGAGAGAGAGAGAGAGAGAGAGAGAGAGATTAGCTGAAATAATCTGAGAAGAAGCCTGTAGGACCCCATAAAAGTGGGACGTCGTCCAAAAAGAGTTAGATCTATGTAGAAAATGCTTGTAAAATATTATATTAGTATTGTACACTCTTTCAGAAGTTGAATGATTCTGTTAAAATGATTGTCATAAAAGCACCCACTTGTTTGTTCAGATTGTATCTGATCAAATAAAGTAGTATTTCTTCTTCCACTGCAAATATTATACAGTAGCTATAAGACTGGACTTAACAAACCTATTATATTTAAAAAAAAAAAAAAAACAAGAAATAGTGATTATATACCTGTGTCTAATATGGAATAACTATGGGTAGAAACAGTGGGCTAGTGTTTTTCCCATAATAAGTACGGTCAATGAGAATTGCAGTTTAAATGGCCATTGCTGAGTTCTAAGTGGTGGAAAGAGATGAATAAGTAATAACAACAATTCTATATCATGTCACCAGGTATTAGAGGAAATGTAGATAAGAACATTCTATTTTCTTATTTCCCTTATGTACATTAAGGCGGAAGTATGATGTAAGCTGAAAAACGAACAAAACATGCAAACAATAAATGGCATTGTTGGTTGTGTGAAGAATCAGAAGGACATTCTTTTTTTTCTGCACATGTGGTAAACTTGTGGACACTTGTGAAAGGCGACTTAAAGAATGGATATGGTGATTCCTCTAATAAACAAAGTTTCCAACACAGTATTTTCAGTGCCTTAATTTTTTTGCTAAATTTTTGCAATTATTATTTTTTTTTAAAGAACAAATTGCTAAAACTTGGTGGAAAGGGTGTGATAGTTAATAATGGAAAAATCAGCAAAAATTGAAGATAAGAGTTCATAGCTCTTCAGAGAAGCCAAAAATATGAAGAAAGTCTTAAGAAGTTAGAACTCGTACACTGTATTGAATACACCAAGGGGAGAAAACTAGGAAATGGAATGGTAGAGAACCCTAGTATAAAATTGCGACAAGAAGCGTGCTAAGGAGAAAACTAGGAAATGGAATGGTAGAGAACGCTAGTACTGCATAAAATTGCGACAAGAAGCGTGTTAAGGACCTGTATTTGTGTAAGTTAAATTGCACAATTCACTGCATCAGATTAATGGTAACTAACGAGGTGCTGGTCATATTACTAGGGGCATGATCGTTGCACAATCACATGCTTCATAATACAGCTGGTGCTGTATGAATCAATGGCAGTTCACTGTATACAGTAACGCTGGCATTTTTGTTATAATACCTGTTGTGTGTTTGTCGTTATAACATTTTTACTACTGTACTGCCAGGTGTGTCCTTTAAAAAAACATTAAAGCCTGCTTTTTTTTACAGCGTCGTCTTCGTCACCTACGGAACATAGCAGCACGGAACATTATTAATAGGAATGGCTTTCGGCTCCTGGATACCTACTTCACCCTCCACTTATGTGATAATGCCAAGATTTGTAAAGGTACACAAAACCTCTTCTGTTCCTGTAATTTCGCAGCCTGTCTTAAACAGGTTAAAATTTAGGGTGGAGGTAAATAGCATCAGCAGCAGCAGCCATACCTCTTCTGCAGATCTGGCTTAAGTAAGACCTTCTGGCCACCAAGAATGTGACTTTCACGGCAAAGTTGGGATTGGAAATTTGCTGTCCTGGATTTATAATATATGCTTATTGGTTTTATTGTTTTTAAATTTGTAAACCGCCCAGAGTAGACCTTTGGTCTAGATGGGCGCGTTAGAAATCTAATAAATAAATAAATAAATTTGGCCTCATAAAAAACCAAGTCTGATGCCAGGGAGGAAAGATAATTGCCGTCACCATATACGCTGAATCCCACCTTCATGCCAGTGTCTTCCATACTCTTCTTTCTAAGAGAAGGGGGATGTCTGTATTAAAAATATTAAAACCTATCGCTGATGCAAAACTGCTTTTAAATGATGCCTGCTGCAGATTTCTTACTTGCATGCAAATCCTATCACAAGTAGCTGAGTTAGGCAGAATGGAGAAGGGTTGCAGTCTGATCGTAGACATCTCTTGGCCTTCATGATGTCACAAGGATTTTTTTTTGTTTTTAACCTGAAGAACCTGTAGGCATTTCTCAGCAATCAGAGCTTTCACCAACTTCTTTCAGAGAGCGGTGATTCGTAAAGTTCTGCCGTAATAGCTGAAATCCATAATGTGCAACACAGTCATTTTTCAAATTCCAAGCTTTCTCACGTCTTTGTTATTCACCCACAGAGCTTCAAAGGGATTACAAGTATATGAACAATTTGATTTGTACTGAGGACCCTTGAATGTTTTATACCTTCTGTATATCTGGCTTGACTCCACCTGCCTTTTTATTCTGTTAAGGAGATGCAGGCCCTTTGCGTGGAACTGAGCGACTCTAATGGCTTTCCCGGCAGCAACAAATGCAAAGGATTTATGCCGTGCAGCCCCTTCACCCTGACCGTATTAAGACAGACCTGTGTGCGGTCTATCTTAATATTTTGCTAAGGTGCTTATCTCCATGGTAACTAAGCTTTTTGAACACGAGTTAAGAACAAGGAATATGACCTCAATGCTTGCCTTCATGGTCTGTGTTGCAGTTTTGAATCAGTCGAGTGTAGCAAAAGTTTAGCGCACAAAAAACTTGAGATGCATAAAATTATGTGTGGTTTGGAGAAAACAGATAGGAAGATGTTTTTTTCTTATGGGATGATATTGTAGCCCAAGTAAGTTAACTTTACTGAAGCTGCAGTGGTACATCTTCACATAGGGCATGTTTTAGCTGTCAGTTACGGCCAAGGTTCTAGTGATGGCTGTCAGTTTGTAAACTGGTTCAAGTCAAGGGGTCATCAGTAGCTACTCGTCAACTCCACTATTGCAGGCGGTGTGTCTTAGGGTCTGCCATTTGCTGGGGAACCCGAGTCTGATAGCACGGTTCCCTTCTTGTACTGCCCATGTGCTTTCTATGGGGGAATCTTGGCTGATCAGAAAGACCGGTGTCCTAAATTGGCCTTTTGTTCGCCTCAGCACGGCGCTTCTTCTGTGCTTAGCTCTGGATCTGAGAAATTGAAAGGAAAATACTGAAAGCAGATTTGTTAGTCATCTCAACGGTTCATCTGCCCCTTGGGTGGTTATGTAGAGATCGTTCTTTCGGTTCGTCAGTCTACGAAGAGCCCCTCTTTTCAGAGCTGTAAAAGTGAAAATGTTGGTGTTTTGAAAAGGCCCCCGATCCCGGGGGGGGGGTGCAGGTTAAAGGACCAACTCTTTCTGCCGTAATTTCTCGTCATGGTGTTCACTGAGTAGGTTGGCCTGCCTTCTTATTGTCATCTCTTTGCAAATCAGATTCCCCCCCCCCTGCTTCTTAAAAAGTGTGTCTTGCTCATATTTTGCACTGCAAACATGAAGGAACAATGCGTGGAGAATGTAAACATTGTTCTCAGAAGTAATGGAGTGTTGTCAGATGTCCATGTTTTAAATTCAATAGCGACATTTTTTTCCAAAATGAGTAGCTTTTTCTTGAGTGGTCACATGGTGAATAGGGAAGATATGGGCTTTGAACTTTGAAGGACTTGGACATGTTTTTTTTCTTCCAGAGCAGTTCTGTACATATTTATTTAGAAGTGAAGCCCGTTTTGTTGAAATGGGTTCACTTGCAGGTATGTTGTTCTCGATTTGCAGCCTTATGGTACAATCTGATACATATATTTTCAGAAGTTAAGTTCCATTGAATTCAGCAGAGCTTAACGTTTAAGTAAGTGGCTGCAAATTCCTGCCTTAGGCTTTTGTCTTTTTTTTTTTTTCATTAGATGGGGTAGTAGGGAATGGCAGAAGCTTGGAAGCTTTATTTTCTAATAGCTAAAGAATGTTATTTATTCACTAAGTGCATTATGCAGGAAATTTAGGGCACCACCCTTCCGTATCTAAAGCCAACAAATTGTTTCGTAGTACCTTTTAAGAGTACAATTCAATAGACCTAAAATAAACTTAGTACAGTTGTTCTAACTCTCACACTTTCTCTCTGTGTGTGCGTGCGTGCGTCTTTCTTTGTTACTCTGGTTAGGTAGATAGAACTTGGTATCTTAAGTGATACAACTAAACATTTTGCAAAATGTCTGAGTAGGAAAAAAAATCTTACTATTTAATGAGTCCACTTGATAAGCCGTGGAACTCTTTGTTTTCCTTCATATCAGTAGCTAATTTTGTGTAAAGCCATCCCTATTCCTAAAGCTTTGTCCATGTAATAGTGCCTGTTTCCATTTCATGCTTAGGAAGGTAAGTTTAGGATCGGCGTCCAAGGTTTGAGGCTTTAACAGTGCAGCCTCTCTCAATTTGGTACTCTCCAGAACTGTCTGAGAGACAGCACAGCAAATGAAAGACATTTGCTACAGAAACCTCTTGGGTACAATTTCAGGACAAGTTGCTCTCATGATTGCTTTGAAGTAAAATGTTTCAATGTGTTTTCGAAGGCTTTCACGGCCAGGATCCGATGGTTGTTGTGGGTTTTTCAGGCTGTTTGGCTGTATTCTGGAGGTTTTTCTTCCTAACGTTTCACCAGTCTCAGTGGCCGGCATCTTCAGAAGACAGGAGTTGGAACTCTGTCTGTGTTCTGGTGTGGGGTAGTTGAGTAATTATTGCTGTGGGATCAGCTTCTTGTCCTTTTCAGGAGATTGGGTGATTATGGTGATCAGGGGGTTTTTTGTTGTGGGGGTTTTGTTGTGATAAGGGGGGAGATGGTCTGTCTCTGTGATTGATGGGTGTTGTTAGCTAGTCCTTTGTGTGCAGTGATCACCGGTCCTTGTGGCTGGGTAGAGTTCATTGACCTCTGAATATGCTGGCCAAAGAGGCTGGCGAACATTAGGAAGAAAAATCTCCAGAACATGGCCAAACAACCTGAAAAACCCACAACTGTAAAATGTTTCAGTGTCAGTTATCATGAAGTGAATCTTTTTGTATAAAATTAATCTTTTGTAGAAATAGACAAATCTTTTTTTTGTGATGCTAAATTTTTGCTTTCTGTATTGTGTATTTTAAACCTTTGCAGCCCAGCTGTTAAGTAATTCAGATCAATTTTGTTTCATAGAATTTTATAGGAGTGAAGTAATAAAGAATTCCCTGGTAAGTTGATTTCACTGTTGTCAACTTAATTACTTCTGTATTATGCTAATGGAATGTTTTTATGTTTAAATCATAGAAGTGTCTTCAGGGTTTGTACAGTAGAACCCCTGTATCCATGGGCCATTGGTTCCAAGCCCCTTACGAATACTGAAAAACGTGGATTATAGCAAACACAGAATTTTCCTTAATGTTTGTTTTTAGCTAGAAAGTTCCAAACCCAACTTTCTTCACAAATTCCTTAGAAAAGCTTGAGATTTCAAAAATGTCCGGAGCAGTAGAAGCAATTGTGGGAGAATGCAAAACTGGGAGATCTATTCATCCCTCGTTCTAGATGCAGCTAGGCTCTGACTCTCATCCGCCTCGGTCAATTTAGTTAGTACGTAGGAATGATGGGACTTACCTGGTCTAACAATATCTGGGAGCTCTCCTCTCCCTGCCTTTAAGGCATGTTCAGGTACAAAGCTTATACTGGGTTTGAATATTCAGCCGTTTGTAAAAGCAGATGTTCTCAGAAAATTTCCTGTTGGGATAATCCATATCATCATGGTATCTTATTATTTTAATAGTTTGCTTGTATCCATAGGAATTGCCTGGAACTGTGTTGAATTGCGTTGTGTTCTGAGTGAATCCTTGCATGAATCCAAAACACAGTATAGATGTATACATTTGAATTTCTGAACCACAATTCTCATAACTACACTTCCTGGGGAGATTGAGGGATTATAATCCAAAAACATACATGTGCACACCTCTAATACACATGCTCTAATACACAATAAGGGTAAAAGTAAAGGTTTCCCCTGACAATTGTCTGACTCGAGGGCGCGGTGCTCATCCCCATCTCCAAGCTGTAGAGCTGGTGTTTGTCCGTAGACAGTTTCCGTGGTCAAGTAGTCAGTGCGACTAGAAACGGAACACCGTGACCTTCCCACCGAGGTGGTGCCTATTTATCTATAGTACTCACATTTTTACATGCTTTTGAACTGCTAGGTTGGCAGGATGCAGAATACAACATCGCTAATACACAGTACAACAGATATTGTGTACTGAGGGAAAAACACCTCTAATACACAATACATAGGCATTCTGTGCTATGGGAACATCCCCCACCTCAAAAACTGGATTGCCAGTACTGTGGTGGTGTAAAGTTCCAAAGAGGGTGAATTAGAGGTACTGTTTAGACTTCTGTGACTGAGGTCTGGACTGATTAATGTAAGCTAGCCCATTTGAGATAGGATCCCCGTATCCACAGCACATTGGTTTCAAGCTCCCCCGCAGATGCTGAAAACCATGGATAAAGAAAACCATGGATAATAGCAAAGCTATACATAGCATGGTAAAAGGGAAAAAAATCTAGGAAAAAAGGATTTTTACTATGTATTACCAGACCTGGCCATAAGAGAGACCATGCTATCTGTTATTCAACAACAAGAATACCTAGTGTTAGATTCCATGGAGGAATATCTGAGTCCCTTCATGGGGCTGCTATTTTTACAGATTCTCTATGAGAGACTTATAGATTTGCGTTTTATTCACCTCTGAAAAGGAATCTAATTGTGGTCATACAAGATTTTGTGCCTTGCCTTATATAATTCAATTCTTCTTTCCTGGATACCCTTCAGAATTTTGACTTAAAAGTTCAAAAAGGAATCTTTCTCTTCTTTAAAAGATTTATTTAGCAGGCGAGTAATCAAGTAAGAGCTCTAATATGTAAAATTCATTTGAGTATATAAACCAAATGAGAATATAGTGCAAAATCCACAGTCCTCTAATATAAAAACTTTCTAGTTCCTCTGTGTAGCATTTTTAATCTATAAAAATGAAACATTTACTAAAAGTATGGTCTTCAAATGGCATAGAATGTAAGTTTATTACTTTAAAAGATACAATATTAAGATTATTTTCTTAGTAAAAAGAATAAAGCATATAAACTCTCATACAAGTCACTTAAAATCTCTTGTTTCAATACATATTATTTGTACAAACAAGGCTGAGCATGGCAAAGCATAGGTTCTAGTCAATAAGTCACATCCCATTACATAATTCTCACCCACTCCAAGCAGCGATTCTCCCCCTTACTTGCAAAAACAAGGTTCACGTATCCTAAGATGTTCTGTAAACATGGTAGAAATCTCTGTTTATATATCGCTTGGTGTTATGCATAGCCAAAACAATCTGTTGTGGGACTCTAGCTTTCCTAAGGATCTGGGATGTCAGCATGCCCTAAACTCTAAACAATGTCAGGGATTTTTTTAAGGCCAGGCAGACTGTGTAGTAGCCCCCTCCATTTGAGTAGAACTGGACAGTGCATTTTGAATGTTTATTACATGCTGTTTACATTTTCCATGTTATGAAATCTTCATCATTTGAATTTCTTATTTGCCATAATTTTTTTAAATTAAAACTCATAATTGATAGTAGCATGGTCTCTGACTCCCTCCAGTGGCCAGTTCTGGTGAATACATTGTGAAAATATGTATTTCTAGTTTATGTTTAAAAAATATTTTTAATATTTTCAGACAATGGATAAGTAAAACCATGGATCCTTCAGATTTCAGGAATCTTACTGTATTTGGATTGGTTGTTTGAGCCGGTATAAAACAGCTTAAAGCATGGTCCGTTTCAGCCCTTTTCTTCTGCTTTGTCTTTCTTTGCATGATGTCCACAGAACCCAACATGGCGAAGTCTTGACTTTGGCCTGATGCCCGATCGCCTTGATACGTCTGTCTCCTGTTTCGTGGTGAGGATCTGGGGTGGCAAGAATGATACCTATCAGCTGCTGATTGAGTGGAAAGTCAATCTAGACGGACTCAAATATTTGGGCCAACAGGTAAAATAAAAGCATATGCCTGCAGACTTCAACTTCCTATATGAAATAAATTTTCAACAAAAATAGTTCAGCTTTTTTCATCGAAGGATCGGTTTTCTAAGAAATAAAAATTAGTAACTATTGAGAGAACACACCAGTAAGAATTATTCTCTACCGATTTTGATAACTGAACTTGATACCTGCCCAACGATTAAAAGTCTTTCTACTTGTTTGGTAATTTTCTGTTTGGTCTAATTCCAGAGTTGTAGCTTTGAGTTTGCTGCATCTTAGATAAATACATTTCTTGTGCCATTAGATTTTATGGGAGGGTTCAGTCTTTAAGATGTCATTGCATTTACTTGTCCATAGGAACAAGGAAGAACTTGACTAATTCTTGAAAAATGTATTGCCTGTTTCATGAATGCTACCTTAAAGGTTAAAATAACTGTGGTAGGAGCTGAAAAATCTCATGTAACACATTGGAAATAGTGGTTCCACACCCCTTTGGCATCACACCCCTTTCTTCTTTCTGAGAGACTCTGGTACCTCCCCACCTTTTATCCAGTCTTCTTCTTTAAAAAAAATCGGTTTGTATTTTAAATTAAAAATACTACAAAAACTTAGCTGAAACCATTTTAATATAAGAGTACGGGCACACAGTTTTTTTCCACAAAAATTTAGTTAGTGTCCTTTAAGAAATTAGCAGAATGAATGTCATGTGAACAATGATTAAAATCTTACCATCTCATTCCCTTCTCCAAGTTTCTTCACACACACTAACACAATAATTGAAGCAAGAGGTCAAGAGTTGACTAAATCTCTAACATTGTTTTTAATTAACAGATACATGCTCGTAGCCCAAATGAAATCATTTTTGGACTGAATGATGGCTATTATGGAGCTTCATATGAACAAAAGGTAGGATTGAGTACTGTGTATGCTGTTCATGTTTTTGTACTGAGTGTAATATTTACACCAAGGTGCCTAGAAATAAGCCACATGGTGAAATCTTCTCTTTGGCTCTTCTGTGGAAGGCCACTGTGGTGACTATTAAGTCAGACACATTTAATTAACGCCATATAATTCACTGCAAAAAGAAATGAGCTCATTTCTGCTGGAAATGAGCTTGTTTTACTCTGCAGTGGATTACGGCCCAGAATATCTTTTGCAACAGCTTGGGCCAGTAGTTTAATGAATGCATAGTAAATGCCACCTTCAGTACAATGGCAATTACACCCTAAAATTATGTTTTTGGACTTCTTCCTTGAGAGAGGCCACAGCTGCCAAGTCTGGCAATTAGCAAGGGTAGCAGCTAGTATAATGCATGACACACACAGATCCCAGAGAAAATAAATGTATCTATTTATTATTTAATTTGCATACCATCCCCTTAGTGCAGTGCACTAATAAACAATAAATAAATAAATATAATAATATTTAAAATAAATAAAATAAACAAACGCAGAAGAATATATAATAAAGCAGTCAAAGATGTAAAACAAATGGCACCAAAAAAATCATATTATCTCTGTGATAGGCAGGGTTATTGTGGAAGGCCTCCTTAAAAAGCAGTGTTTTGAGCTGCCTTCTAAACATTGACAGGAAAGGGGCCAGGTGCAGCTCCACCAGGAGCTTGTTACACAGAATTGGTGCCATCGTGAAGAAGGCCCAGCCTCTTGTAGATGATTTCTGGGCCTCCTTTGGGGTGGCTACCAGGAGGAGCATTGCTTTGGGAGAACATGGTCCCGAATGGTGGAGGATTTTATACATGGGTGTCAGAACCTTGACCCTGATCTGGAACACAGCAGGTAACCCACGGAGGTGAATCTGAAATGGGGGGATGTGATCAGACTTGCTCACACCAGCCACCAGTTTGGTCGCCACGTTCTGGACCTGCTGTCGATTCCAGGTCAGCCTCAAGGGAAGTCCCATGTAGGGAGCGTAGCAGTAGTCAATCTGGGAGAGGGCCATTGCATGCACTAGCCTCCTGAGGGAACCCTTGTCTAGGTAGGGGTAGAGTTGGGAAATAGCCTCATCTGCTTAAAGGCACATCTGGATGTGGCTGCAATCTGGGAATCCCAAGAAAGAACCTGGTCCAAAAGAACACCCAGCATTTGTTTAAATAGGCAGCATTTATTTTTTTGGGACCTCTTATAATCAAAGGCGTTCTCTATTGACCTTTCTCTAGTCTTAAGAATTTTGCGACTCTGCAGTTAGTACAGATTCAGCAAACAGCCACTCTGTGGCTGAAATTCTATAAGTATAAGGCTGATCATGTCAACAGCTGTAGCAGCTTTTCAAAAATAAAACCTCTCTATCCCCCCCAAGACTCCTGAGGTTCCTGTAGAAGTTTTTTCATGGTTGGAAAGCCATTGGGGATGGCACGACAATTGCCGTGGGAGGGCGTCTTTAATTTCCAAAAATCCCCATGGGTGGGTTGACTTTATCAGCAATGGAGACCTTTGGGAAGAGACCCTCATCCTTCAGCTGTCAGTGGTGTCACGATGAAAGGGAGTCCATGGGAACCTCTGGACGTTCGGTGGAGAGAATCAGAATGGTTTTATTTCTTTAGAAAGTTTGCCGCTGATGACATCATAAGCCCCGTGGGGCGTACCTGGATGACTTAGAGCTGGAACGGCCCACAAGAACTTGATGTACAGTCTTGAAGAAGATGTTTTATCATGGAAAGCTCGCCGTTTTGTTTTTAGTTTTCTGGTGGTTTTGTTGTTGTTCTTCATGGTTGCTTAAAGGTATCCCACGTTCCTGTATCTGTAGGACCCGAGGTTTAGCCTGTATGGGATTTATTCTCTCATTGGCTTTGGGCCCCCAAAAAGTAACAGATAGTGAAGTGCATGTATTCAGGTGTGCAAGGGATGTTAAATCAGGGTCTGGGCAGGGGTCTAGAGTACAGCGCATCGAGGTTAATGGCAAAACAGCAAACATCCCATGGAAGAGCTGCTCTTTTTTAGTCATTCAGGGGATAAAATTAAGAGAAAAGGGACCAATAAGAAAAAAAATGTATAATTATTTTCTTGGCATCAGCTTTATGGATGGGATGGGCGATTAAGTGTCACTTACAAGATAACTGCCTAATAAAGCTGACGCCTTTTGAATTGCTATATGTTATCTTTCAGTGTGTGTGAGGAAGGGGGTTCTGAAGTGGCCAGTATTTAGTTCTGCACATCCGTGTCATCTCCCAGCAGGTGTGCATGCCGTCCCCTCTCCCCTGAACAGCTGTGACCATTAGGCTCTCGAGGCCATGATAGAAGCAGAGAGATGCTCTGCCTGTATCATTTAGGTACCTCCCACCCTGGTGGAGAACTCCTCCTTGGCAGGGGCAGTTCTTGGTATCTGTCGAGCAGCTAAGTGGATTAGAAAGGAACATTCTTTCCATGCATTCCTGGGTGGAGGGGAGGGCGTTTATAGGCACTACTACGTGTTTCCTCACTAGAGCTTTTTTAAAGGGCTCTTCCTTCTCAGAAGTCTTTTAAGGTTGAACGTAAAGCTTGAATAGTCTTTTAAGACAATAGCTTCACGATGCTTTTGATTCTCTTTTGTGAACAGAATATGTGGAAAGTCTTTTAACAGGAAAACGGGACCTGACTGCCATGTCATTAGAAATGCAATGCATCTAATTTGCTGCCATCTTTGCCTTCAAAGGGCCACCCAGGAACCCAGAAAAATAACCTCCTTCAAGTGGATCAGAACTGCGTCCGTAACTCATATGATGTCTTCTCTTTACTTAGGTAACTTTTTGAAAAATCCTGATGTGTTTTTTTTTTGCCATGAATAATGTTATAAAAAACGTAGATTTCCTGTGTTGAGTAATCTGTTGGACGAGTGCTCTGGCTTTTTAAAGTGGAACTGACCAGCGCTGAATGCGGAGCCTTTTGCCTGTAGCGTAGGTACTGCTCACATTGAGATAAAGTTGTTGCCGAGTTGTTCATAGGACATGGTAAAGGGCTTTTCCTCCCTGCAACCCCCCCCGCAACCTGGACATCATCCCAGAGATGGAATGAGGTAGTTTGATGCTCTTTGGACAAGCCCTGCAATGCCTCAAAAATTGCACAGGGCTACTTTGTCCGTCCTTGTCTCGCTGGTGCATTGCTCCTCCCATGGGATTTGTTCTGTGATGCAGCCTGGAACAGGACTGAATGCTGCATATTATGGGCTGTTAGGACATAGACAAGAGAAAACTGTGTTCTTTTCTCAGTTCACAGACTTGCCAGGTTTATAGGACCGGATGAAGTAATCCCTAGGATACATAAGATTACCCTCTTGTGTGGGGGTGGGGGTGGTGCACACACTTGTACATCATTTATACTGCTGGAATATTTGTCGCACGGTCGTTTTGACTGCATGTTGGACAGCTTCCTGTGAAGAACCTGATCTTCAAGAACAAGCCCCATGGCTTCTTATAGGTGGAGATGCTCCAGAGCGACAGACGTGGGTTTGCAACTGCATAATAGGATGTTCCAGCACTGCAGATGACAAAAGTGTCTTTAAGCCTCTTGCCTCCACAGCTTCATCTCTGCTTATTCCTCCTTTGCCATGAAACATCTCATGCAGTCTCCATGGGCCCTCTTTCCTTTATATCCCGTCATTTAGAATAAATGATTGGCCTAGAATTAAGTTTTTGATGGTGCCTGCTCATCTTCAAAGGCATTACGTATCTGGGCTAGCCAACTGTGATTAGTTTATAGAATTAATGTGGAAGTTTAAGTGCTTGTGGCCTGGTCTCTGGTATCAGAGGTATAGATCACGTTGAGAGTAGTTGCACATTCATCATCAGGGTGAAATCTAGGAGCTGTGGACTGGTTGTGAAAGTTATCTTTCTGTATGCCACTGTACTTTTCTAGCTACAGGAGGTAGAACATGAGGATTTAAGGATTTTACACTAAAAGAAACACACCTGCATGTATCAGTTACAGCATCAGATTCTTCTCAGACTCTCAGAACCACGTTCTCTGAAAGCAGTTCTTAGTTTGTATAATGTCCCTATGGAAGCAGTTCAGAGAGGGGAGTGGCCCGACAGAGCCAATCTTTTTTATTTAGATTAGAGTAGGCATCCTTCAGTCTCAAGAGACTATGGTAACATGCTCTGTATGGAGGACTTGGAACAGCATCTAGAGTGCTGAGAGTGACAATCCCTTCCACACTGAAGACAAATACAATCTGTCCCCTGTCCAGCTCCCTGATTTGGCTGGTTTCGGGACTGCCTCTTTGCCTCGGCCTGCTGGACAAGGGTCTCTTCAAATTGGGAGAGGCCGTGATGCACTGCCTGCCTCCAGGCTGAACGCTCCCATCTGTTGAGGGCTATTCCTACGGCCTTCAGATCCCACTTGCAGATGTCCTTGTATCGCAGTTGTGGTCTCCCTCTGGGGCGATTTCCCTGCACTCATTCTCCATCCAGGAGATCCTTTGGAATCCGACTGTCAGCCATTCTCACGACATGCCCAAGCCAACGTAGACGTCACTGTTTCAGTAATGTATACATGCTAAAAAATCCAGCTCGTTCTAGGACTACTCTCTTTGGAACTTTGGCTGCTAGGATGGTATCTTTTCTATCTTATTCTCCTTTGTTTCTTTGGGAACAACAACTTTTTCCTCCTTCAAACCCCAGGAATTACAATTCCTTTAGATGGACTAGTATCCTGTTTGTGTGATTCCCCTGCACGTGAGCATTATAGGTAAAAGCAAAATAGAAATAAAAAGTTAAAAAAGACAAACTGTTAAAGACAAACTCTTATATTTTTAATATGAACTATCGTGAACAAATCAGTTTCGGTTTTACCTATAATGCTTGCACATACTAATACAGCTACCTGTTCTATAACTGTAGTTGATTGGCTTCACTGAACATTTCTATTGGATGGATCCTAGTCCAGCCCAGGTATAAAACAAGGCTTTTGATATTTATCTTTCTTGCTGAGCTGCCTAGTCTGCTTCCTGATGTCCTCCCTGTTTCCTGACAGTTGGTATATGCTCTTGGAACTTTTGCTGGAGGTTAGAAAATGCCCGTGTCAGTGTAGCAAACCTACCAGAAGGTGTTGCTGTTGCCTCAGAAGAAAAGAGAATACCACTAATGCATTTTTCTTTGAATGGACTGGTGGAAGGGTAGAACTGAACAGTCTTTAGCTGCCTTATTTATAAATTTACTTCTGAGTGGACTAATTATTTTGCCACTGTAAAAAGTTAGATTCTCAAGTGCTTGAACCTTTGTAATTAGTCTTAAAAGTGGCTAGAATTCTCAGAGCATCACCTGCATTGGAAGCTAGCTTCTTAAAATGCTTATTGCTCTCAGACAGAATAACAGAGAGAGAAGGGCTGGTTATGTAACATAAACTTGCTGGGTTGGTTTCGTCTTGTAGCCTGCTTTATACCACAGCTTTTCAGAAAGTACGTCTTATGGTGCGAAAAATACGGTACGTAACATAAACTTGCTGGGTTGGTTTAGTCTTGTAACCTGCTTTATACCACAGCCTTGCAAGGGAGACTCAGAAGAGAGACATAAAAACAACAACTTTCTTCCAAATTCCCCCCCCCCAGCCTTGATTTTCAAAAAAGTTCTTTAGTGAATGAGTCTTCACATTTTCCCAACATCAGGGCCTTTTCCAGGGAGTCTTCTCACGAGATGGCCAAAGTATTGGAGCCTCAGGTTCAGGATTTGTCCTTCCAGTCAGCACTCAGGGTTGATTTCCTTCAGAATGGACAGGTTGGTTCTCCTTGCAGTCCAGGGGACTCTCAAGAGCCTCCTCCAGCACCACCATTCAAAAGCATCAATTCTTCGGCGGTCAGTCTTCTTTATGGTCCAGCGCTCACTTCCATACATCACTACTGGAGGTTTGTTTAACTTCCAGTATTAATTATCACAGTCTGATGTTGTACAGAATCAAACTCTCAACCTCTGTCTCCATAGCCAGATGCTCCAAACCCAGTGCACTCATATCCATAAGTTAACAATGTTTTATGTCAAGTACATTTTCTTTTGTCAGTATGTTTCTGTGCTTAACAATAATTCTAAAGTATGGGACAAGATCTTGTTGATTATAAAAGGACACTGCTTAGCTCCCTGCTTTTTTTTCACCTCTCCGAATTCATCACTGGCTGAGGGGTACATATGCACACTTCCCTCTTGGTACTTCAGAAAGCTAACGGCATATAGCACAGGTAGACTCCCTCAGTCCCCCCATTGTTGAAGGTGAGCAAGGTGGATGTGAAAAATAACTTCAGTTTCTCTGAATTTTATTTATTTTTAATTTTTTTTATCCTGTCCATCTAGGGCTACTACTCTGGGTGGCTTGTAATAACGTAATGTAAACATATAATAAAAGTGCAGTAGTAAGCTAACACACTACACAACACAAACTCTCTAAAATAAAGTAACTAATGCCAAAAAAAGATATACTGTATATTTCAATCCTTCAGATAGACTTTCTCTCTTTTTGCCTCTATTCCCTTTATTATTGTTGTTGTTGTTGTTGTTGTTGTTATTGTTATAGGGGAGATTGCTTTGCCCATGTTCAGGTCTTATAGTGACCAACTTTGCACCGTGTTCAAAAACAGCAGCCTCCAGGCTGTTTCCTTCCCTCCCTCCTCTTCTTATTATTATTTTTTGCTAAGAACTCCTGACATTGCATCTTTCTATGGAGCAGTGAAGGTGACCAGCCCCTGGATGATTTGCTTGGGATTAGATCAGGAATTTTAACAACTGGCAAGTGGAGTGTTGAATTTTAGCCTGGGGTCATGGACGGACCTATATGAACTGCACGCGGCTCTGGAGAGGGGATTCAGAGTTGCAGGGAAATGGCTAATTTTTGAAAAGTCTTAACGAGAACAATATTTTCAGATAATACCCTGAAGCTTGAGTTTTTGGCATTTGAAAATACCATGTTTCCTATGTGGTTTTGCAGCAAGCCCATTTAATACCTGTTCTTCTACAGATACCGCTTTGAGTGCTGCAGAATTATGTCATTTTGTGTGGCACTAATGATTCTTCTCACAAGTTCTCTGCTTCGTGGATGGTATTACCTTGGTGGTTGTAGACCAGCATGGAGAATGACTGGGCTATGAAAATTATCTGCACAGTCTGATTAATAAACATGGTAATGCAGCCAGCAACAGCAATCTGATATTTCGTTTCTTTCTGACAATGTGATGTGCAGAATAAAAGAGGACTGCGTCTTCATGCTATTACATGGACTGTTTCTCTGCTTCTGTCGGCGTGCTTTCGCTTCCATTCTAAGTTGGATGTTGTGTTTCAAATGGAGATTAAAAATGGCTATCGCTCTGCGCATGTTGTGCTGGTTTTAAGTTTTCTCAATCCCGAGGACATGGATAGGCTGCTAAGAAAGAGGTGAACTAGTTAATTGCCTGCTTACACTTACTGGTGGATTGGGGCTTGCTCTTTGGCTAGGGTGACTCAATGAAAAAGAGGAAAATGTTCCTGTAGCTTTAATAGTTGTGTGGAAGAGGACATTTCAGCACCTGTAGCTTGTGTTGAAACCTGCACCTGCTGAAGGCCACCTTTTAAGAAAGTATCAAATGTACGGGAATCTTGCCCTCTTTTTTAGCTTGTTGCTCTACTCTCTTAAGTCTTAAATGTGGCCATTGTTTCACTGAGAAATTTCAGGTGGGAACTGCAGCTCTCAAGGCGAGAGTTTCTCTGAAAAGTGACCTCCGAACTCAGGCAATGTGAGTAACCACCTGTATCACACTGTTTACAGATAGGTGTATCTTGACATGG